GGGATAGATAGTAAGACCTGTCTTCTCCTAAACCACAATGAATGGTTACCTCATTCTCTCCTGTACTGCTAACCTCTATGTCCACGAACTCTTGCCCATCAGAAACTCACTAACCATTAAGTCTCTCCCATTTAAACAAACAAACAAACTTTAAAGTCTCTCCCATTTTATAAAATAAAAACTAATCCTCAGTTTTGTATCTCCTCTTGGGCATTTCTACCAACCAAATATTCCTTTCTCTGTGTGTTCACAGGTAAAAAGTTTTATATACCAGCTCTCTTTAAAAGTTTTCTAAACATATCTACCCCACCCATTCACTCTATCACACAGCATTCTGAATACAGCTCCATTTCCCAGTAACTGCTTTGTCAAAGGTCAACAATAAATAATCTCTTTGTTGTTAAATTCAAGCGGTGCCTTTCAGTTCTTTTCTTACTTGAATTTTTTAGTAGTTTTTGACTTTGTTAGCCATTTCCTCAGAAGGTTTTTACAAGCTACAACCTTTGCCCAGTTGCTTACTCACTCAAAATCATTTAATCGAGCACTACTTCACTTACTTAACAAATATTTATTGAGTGCCTGCTATGTGGCAGACACAGTTTTGGGCATCAGAATATAGAAATGGACAAATAAAGCCCTTTCCAGTCCAGTGGAGAGAAAACTGACAAGACACAAATACATGTCACTTGGTGATTTAAATGTTATAAAGAAAAATAATATAAGTTATGCTGATTAGAAGAACCCTACTCAAAAGTGTTCACACTGATTCCATTTATATTAAGTTCTTTAACAGGGAAAATTGACCTAAAATCTATAGTGGAAAAAAATCAGAACAGTGACTGACTGAAAAAGGTACTTAGAGAACTTTCTGGGGTGATAATAATATTTAGTATCTTGATAAGGGTGTGGGTTAACCCATGTATGCATTTGTCAAAACTCATCAAAATAGTGTCTTATGCATTTCCTTCTATGTAAATTTTACCTAGAAAACTTTAAGCAAATATTGAACTCTAATGATATGCAAGCTGAAGTACTGAAGGTCAAGTACTGATGTCTGCAACCCACTAAAATGCATTTAAAAATTAGATGGAGAGATGCCTGGGTGGCTCAGGGGTTTAGCGCTGGCCCTTGGCCCAAGGTGTGATCCTGGAGTCCTGGGATCAAGTCCCAGGTCGGGCTCCATGCATGGAGCTTGCTCCTCCCTCTGCCTGTGTCTCTGCCTCCCTCATTTTCTCTCTCTTTCTCCTCTCTCTCTCTGTCTCTCATAAATAAATAAATTAAAAAAAAAACTTTTAAAAGAATAAAATAAACATAAAAGTTAGATGGATAGAGAGATGAAGAGACAGGAGATCAGCAAACAGTAAAATGTCAATTACAAAATCTAGTGGTACATATAGGTGTGTTCACTGTCAAGTTCTTCTAATTTTCAGGCATGTTTGTAAATTTTCCTAGCAAAAGGCTGGAGAAAAATAAGGCAGGGTCAGGGGATGGATGCAGAGGGGCCTGATTTAAATAGGGGGAATCAGAAAAGGCCTCTGGAGTAAGCTAACATTTGAGCAGAGACCTGAATGAGTCATGCAGGTATCAGAGGAGTAACATTCCACACAAAAGTCTAGGCAAATGCAAAGGTCTCTGGGTGAGATAATGCTTGGCCTAATACTCAAATGTCCTCTCCAGACTGGAATACTCTTCTCTCAGAACATTCGTGATTCCAGGCACCGTGATTCCACTAGTAGTTAGCTAAATAACTGAGCAAGTTACAAAGACAGGAAACAAGGAACTAAGAAACTTCTGAGGAAAGAGAGAGAAGATCATGTAAATTTGAAAACTGCTAACTCAGACAGTTACACAAAAAGAGTACTGCCTAAGCCAGAAGAATCAACTTTGGTTCCACTGTTCTATCCTTCAACCACCTCACAACTAACTACCAGGACACATCTTTTTTTTTTTTTTTTTTTAAGATTTTATTTATTTATTCATGAGACACACAGAGAGAGAGGCAGAGAGGCAGAGACACAGGCAGAGTCAGGAGAAGCAGGTTCCATGCAGGGAGCCTGATGTGGGGCTTGATCCCAGAACTCCGGGGTCACATCCTGAGCCAAAGGCAGATGCTCAACTGCTGAGCCACCAGGCGTCCCGACCAGGACACATCTTATCACCACTCCAAGAGAACAGCATCCACCTTAGTGCTGGCTATTTTTTCATCTGGATTAGTAACTTCTAAACTTTTCTTTTTTAAAAATATTTATTTATTTATGATAGACATAGAGAAAGAGAGAGGCAGATATACAGGAGGAGGGAGAAGCAGGCTCCATGCTGGGAGCCCGACGTGGGACTCGATCCCAGGACTCCAGGATCGCGCCCTGCGCCAAAGGCAGGCGCCAAACCACTGAGCCACCCAGGGATCCCCAGACTTTTCTTTTTTAAAAGCATCTTTTCTTTTAAAATCAAAAGAAATAATCTTTAATGATTTTATTTGAGAGAGAGAGAGAGAGAGAAAGACAATGAGAGAGAGAGTGCACGAGTTGGAGTGAGGAGCAGAGGGAGAAGGAAAAGCAGACTCTACACTGAGCAAAGAGCCCTACAAGGGGCTCAATCCCAGAATCCTGAGATCATGACTTGAGCTGAAAACAAGAGTGGGACACTTAACTGACTGTGCCACCCAGGAGCCCCTGCTTCTAAACTTTTTTTGATGACAGCTACAGAATAAGAAATGTGGTTTACATAAACATCTCTTTATGTACTAGATTGCTATTTACAGAGATTTTATATACGCAAACACCCACCAGAAAAATAAACTTTCTGGAAACGACGTTTACTCTCACTACAACTGACAGTCTTCAGTATTTTCTATTCCAGTCAATACTGATTTATTTCAATTATATGTTTCAAATGCTGGTCACAATCTACAAATGAGGTGCAAACTTGCAATTTGAAAATCACTTATCCAGGTTACTACAAAAGTCTCCTAACACAACATATCTGGTGGCTACAGGCATACTGAAGCATTTATTCGGCCCCATAGAATTAAGTTTATGTTCTTACTACCATTTTAAATCATAATGGCTGCTTCTCTCATTTATAAACCATTTTGTTTGCTATCCTAATTTGTCTCCTTGACTCCTAATCTGTCTACACCACAGTTAGAATGAATGACCTAACTAAAATGCAAACAGGGCTATACTACGATCCTGCTTAAAAGTCATTAATGTTTATTCATGGTTTTCAGGAAAATACTCCCACACTCTCAGAGAACTATACAAAATTCTTCATAGGACTGTTTAGTCTTCAGTACATATGTCAATTCCTCAAATGCTGAACTCAAGCTGTAACAAAATACTATTTCCTGAGTTCCACTTACACATTTTTATGGATGCTAGAGATCTGAACATGCAATTGGCTCTACTGAGAATGAAGCCTTCCTTCTACCACTGGTGGCTACATTATTGCTCTACTAACTCCTAACCCTCTTTTAGAAATCTGTGTAAGGATCATCTCCTTCGGAAAGTATTTTCTGATCTCAATAGTGTAGGCTACTCTCCTGAAAGACCTCTGTATATGTTCCCATCCACAGCTTGCTAAACGTACCTCTAGCCCAGCCTTAACTGTCCAGTATAGTTGCTCCTTATTTATCTTTACCCTCCATCAGACCATGAGGTTCTTTTTTTTTCTTTTTAAAGATTTATTTATTTATTCATGAAAGACTCGACCCCAGGATCACGCCCTGAGTCAAAAGCAGACACTCAACTGCTGAGCCACCCAGGTGCCCCCAGATCATGAGGTTCTTCACAGCTTTTGAATATGTATGTGTCGCAGTGGCAGACTCATGAAACTAGGATAAATGACTAAGTTACCAAAACAGAAAACAAAGAGACAATGAGAGATTTTTGAGAGAAAAAGGTAGATACTGTAAAGTCTACAACGCTGGTAAGTAAACAAGTGGGGATTTCCAGCAAGTAGCTGAAAATAAGCTCAGAAAAAGGTCTGGCCTGGACATAGAGATTTAATAGTTACAGTGATGGGAGAGTATGAGTGCCAACAGAGGAAGAACACGTGGCCAGAAGACCAAAGGCCGAAAAGGGCTGAAACGACTATAGGCAGTGGGCAGAATCAGATGAGCCAGCAAAGAGCACTGAAAAACCAGTTCAGGAAATAATATGGGGCCATGAGCAAAATGACTGTAATGAAAAACTGAGGGCAGTAAGGTAAGACCTCTAGAAGTACAGTTTCAACAGCTCCAAAGGGAACCATTCTAACTGCTGCTGTGTAAGAAAGCACTGCATCCATACTTCTACTATACCATAGTCAAACTGTACCACATATATGTTTACAAGTCTAAGTCACTATAAATAAGCTTTTTGAAGTCAGAGATAATGAATGACTCATATCATTAGTAACTCATATTAGTATCATTAGAGCCAAGCAGAGTAAAAAAAAACCTGTTATATAAATCTGGGAGACATGACCAAATGGAATACACACACAGAATAACCCTTTAAAGAAAATCTCAGGAAGCTGAATATTTTCAGTGAGAAATTTAAAAGAGATTAGGAATTATTAAGCAGTAACAAAAAACTGAGTTTGCAATAGAGCTATTAGCAGGGTTAGGTGACTTTTCCAGCACTCAGTGCTGAGAAAAAGGATGGCTAGCTATGCTGGGCCTGGGGAGCAGACCATAAAGGAAGCTAGGGAAGTGAGGTAATTATGTAGTGTTACCCAGTCTTATCTAACAGTAAAAATAAACCAAGAATCAAATCAAGAATGTCTTGCAAATTAACACAAGGTTTTTTCTTTTCCCTTCACACTGCACATGCTTCATAAGTAATTGTTCCCTGTTTTAAAAAGTACTTGATTTGTGGCAAATAAATTGTATCAGATTCCAACTTTGATTTCAAATTACTAACCAATGCAAAAATTTTATATATAAATTCAACAGACGTATTACCAAAAAGCTGCTATTCAAATCTAAGTGAAACTTATAAAAAATATATTTAACATACCCTGATGGCAAAGTTTCTGTGCTGGTATTTCCAGACTGTTGCCGTACAGGTTCCACACACCCATCTGGCTGTCTTAATTTGGCTGCCTCAAAAGCAGAATTATTTCCAGAATTAGAGGCAGCAGGGTCTAAAGTACTTCTAGCTTCAGATCCAAATGCTGCACTGTTAGAAAGAATACATTCATTGTTTTCTGAGGAAGCCAGTATTTCTTGAACTGGAGGATCTTCAACAGTAGTATTAGTGCAATTTGAAGACAAGGCGGTTTCTTCAGATACTATTGCAGTACCCATTACGGAAGCATTATCAGTTGGTGCAGATGAGGATGATTCTCCATTAACTGAAAAGAGAAAAATCAGTAAGATGAACTACCAAGGAATGACAAAGCAAACAACTCACTAGGTACACTTATTTAGTACTTAATTCACCATGAGTACTCTATCAGGTACTGATGAAAATAAAATTAGATTGTATTTTTTCCTGCTCACATTTTAGAGATGAACATGTAAATTAAAGGATACAGTTGACCCTGGAGCAACACAGATTTGAATTACGCAGGTCCATGTATTTGCAGATTTTTTCCAATACAGTATAAATCTTCTTTATGATTTTAACATTTTCTTTATCTTACTGTATTGTAATAAGGCAGAATATAATATACAAAATAAGTGTTAACTGACTTTATGTTACCGGTAAGGCTTCAAGGTCAACAATAGGCTATTAGTAGTTACATTTGTGGGAGGAATCCAAAGTGATACAAAGACTTTCAATTGGCTGGGTGGGAGGTGGTTGGGGGGTATATGATGTTGGTATTCCAAATCCCCTCTTGCTCAAGGGTCAACTGTGTGTGTGTGTATATACCTAGTAATAACCTTAAGGAAAAGAAAAACCAACATGAGTATAACATATCTTTCCTCCAAATGATCAATTTTGAAAGTCTGCATGGTTTATATAAAAACTTTAAATGATCCCTTTTAATCTCCCTTTTCATATGCAAATAGTAGCTAATATCAAAAATGCTAATAGGGGAAATACAATGGCATTAATGAAGATAGTACTACAGGGGACTGCCAAAAAAGATGCAGAAATTCATTCTACGCTTTCTGAAGAATGACTCAGTACTGGCATCCACTAATACAGTTGTCTTAATATTCATTTTAAATGTGATTGATGAATTTCAATTATGTATCCCTATTAAAGTAAGTCAAGTTAAAACTAGAAGGAGAACAGATTATTGACCAAAACCTATTAGAAAATTCCACATAAAATTCTAACTGAAATAGGGAGAGGGAGACTTAATTAAGAGTAATAGAATCTTCAGGTAGATTTTTAAAGAAGGAAAAAGACTTAAATAGTAGAAAGGAAATGTACTATTAAAGGAATCAAACTAATTACAAAAAACCCCCAAAAACCAAGAGAATGAATCAAGTTCTGTCCAAATATGGGGGAGAGAATGGCTTTGGAGGAAAAAAAATACAAGAAAGAAAATATTTACAGTTACCCCATACCAAACACTGTTAGATAACATAGAGAAATGAAAAAAAAATGTTCATAGACTAAATTCTGGTGTCCCGCATATGATTTTCACTTAAAAAATTATCTCATTTAGTATTTATTCTTCAACAGTGCATAAATTAATGTCCAAAAATGGAAAAGCTTAGCAGTATTCTTTTCAAAGCAAAATAACACCAAATGGGAAAAGAATAAAAGAAGTTAACAGTCATAAACCTTTATGCATACTAAAACACAGTACAGTACACAAAACACAAACTGTTAGAGAAAGAAAATAAAATACTAAGTAACACCATTCATTCAAGGCAGAAACTTCTCTCCTATAATAATTCAACAGCAAGTGCTCTCAGCACTTCTCTCCATTGTACCACTACCTCCTGCTCCATCATTTCTTGCTTTCAATACTGGCAACAACCTCCTAATTTTAGTCTGCTTGCTTTTTCTTTTGTCTAACTACAACCCATTTTCCAAATGACAGTCCAAAGAAATCTTTTTCAAAACATTTAACAGATTTTTTCACTATCCTAATTGGATACACCAGTGGATTCCCATTACTACCAGAATAAATTCTAAACTCTTTACCACGGCCTATGATGAAATTAATCTGCTCCACGGCTACCCCTGATTTCTCACAATGGTTTCCTTCTGTTCCTTGCATACAGTAAACTCCTTCCCACTCAGAAATGTGCACTTACAGTTCCCATGGTATCAGAGTATCTCATGACTGGCTTTTTCTCATCATTTGGAGTACATGCTCAATTACATCTTCAAAATGCAATTGAGGCAGTGCTTGAGTACCTTATTTAATGCTGTTCTGACTAGCCCCTAACCTGTTTAGTTTCTCATGTTCTGAAATCATTTTATGTATTTGTTATTTTTTTTCATTATTAAGTTCAGAGTGTGAACTTAATTGTATTCACTCTTGTATTCATCAACTGTTAGAAAATTCTTGGCACATGAAAACAATAAATATTTGCTAAATCAATAAATTAAAGACAAATCAGAGAGGTAGAAATAAACTGAACATACTTCTTTCAAAACTATGCAGATTAAAGAGTTTAGTAGAAATATTAATTAAGTGTATGAAGGATTTGATAACACATCTGACTTAAATTACAGTTAGAGATAGGTAGCTTTGAGTTTCCACTATATACATTTTCCATCCAAACACCTCTTAAGAACTTTTAGAAAACCTGAGATGTAAAACACCAAAGGAAAATCCCCAATTATACAATGAGACCATATTCTAACTACAATAAACAGAAACAAGCAATAAAATACAGTTTATTAAAATGTTTACTGAAAGTCTGACATAATCTGTTTAAGGGTTATCTTAATTGGTCTTTACAGTACAATGCTGAGACAGGTAACAACATTATTCCCATTTTACCAGTGAAAAAAATGATATTTTTATGTCTATAAAAATGGTAGCTCTCCCCCAATCCACAATCAATTTGCTTAGAAGAGAAATTAAATAATACTGAGTTGAAAAATAATCAATCATGAAATTATAAACTTTAGGGAAATTAACAGCAATGAAAACACTTGTATCAAGTGCTACTGTCTAGCCGAAGTATCTAAGGATATAAGAAAGAATGGCAATAAATGAGCTTAGCAATCAATTCCAGAGCCAGGCAGGAAAAATGGTAAAAGGAATTAAAAGACCAATAAAACAGATCAGAATTTCCTAACTTACTTGATAAGAATCAGCTGGGATCTCATTGAAAATACAGATCTTAGTTCCTATCCTAGACTTAACTGAACTTCTATGGGAAATCTCTAAGAGTCTGGGAATCTGTTATTTTTAACAAATGCTTCAGATGAATTCTTACCAGTAAAGTTAGAGAAGCCATGAAGTGTACCTTTCTGGGTTTTATAAAGAAAAATATATGTTAGAACCACTTTATAAGTCTCAAATATATTAACTAAGGGCACCTGGCTGGCTCAGTTGGTAGAGCATGTGACTCTTGATCTCTTGAGCCCCACCCTGAGTGTGGAAATGCTTTAAAAAAAAAAAAAGCTATTTTTTGAAATACATTAACTATGTCAAGAGAAAGAAAAACTGAAAAGACTCATCACCTGGCTGGCTCAGTCAGTGGGGCAAGTGACTCTTGATTTCAGAGGTGTTGAATACAAGCCCCACATTGGGTGGAGAGATTACTTTAAAAATCTTTAAAAAGAAAGTAAAAAAGAGAAAGAAAAAGTCACCACATAGATATGGAAAAGGTGATGAAAGATCTAATATTATTCCACGAAAGAGCACAAGACTCCCTTAAGTTTTCTCAGAAAATTCTATAAACCCTTCAATGAACAGATCATCCTGTGTTATTTAAAGTGGCATAGTACATTAGGGAAGAAAAAGAAAAATGGAGTTTCTTAATTTATTCTGTGAGGATAATATAACCCTAAAGTTGAAACTAAATAAAAGATGGCTCAACATTAGGAAATTATATTAGGAAGTCGGACTGTGCAAACATTTAAAAAAGTAGTATGACTATTTTCAATCCAAACCAAAAAGCTTTCAATAAAACCATGATAAAACACTTTAAAAAAGGAATCAAGAAAAATTAGTAAACAATCTAGATTACCCATCAGAAACCCACAGTAAGCATCATATATGAACTGTAAGACATTAGAAGAATTTCCATTAAGGTCAGAAACAAATTAAAATCAGGAACAAAACAAGGAAGATCACAATCACCATTCCAATATTACTGCTTACTTTGACAATGCATTAAGACAAGAAAAAAGTGAAAAATATTGGAAATAAAAAGATAAAACTCATTCACAGAGGGTAAGCTTATTTCAAACACTCATGAGAATAAACTAAAAAACTCAGTACCGATTAAAACATTTTAGCACAATGACCCTATATAAGTTCAACATTAAAATTACCCTCAAGACCTATCTAAACAAACCAGAAAACATTACTAAGAGACATTTTAAAACAAAATGGATGGAGAGAGACATAAAACACCTCTGGATGGAAGATTCAACACTGTTAAAAATAATAATAATAAACTCTCCTTAATATGCAAATACAGGTAAGGAAGCAGAGCAAGAGGAAAATATCACTTATTGCTGGTGGGAAAACAAAAGGGTGCAGCCACTTTGGAAGACAGTTTTGCAGTTTCTTACAAAAATAAGCATACTCTTACTATATAATCCAGCAGCCATGGTCCTCAATCCAGTTAAGTTGAAAAAAACTGCACATGTATGTTTATATCAGCTATATTTATAATTGCCAAAAGCTGGAAGCCACCAAGATGCTTCAAGGTTAATGGATAAGCAAATTTAGATATATCCATACAATGGAATATTATTCGGCAGTATGAGAAATGAGATGTCAAGCTACAAAAAGATATTGAGGAGCCTTAAATGCATACTACTAAGTCAAAGAAAGCTCCAAACATCTGATGTCCTGAAAAAGGCCAAACTATAGAGATAGTGAAAAGATCACTGGTTGCTAGGAATATGGGAAAAAGGAAAAACAGGTAGAGAGCATGGGGGAGTTTGAGAATGGTAAAACAATCCCTTATGATACTGTACTGGTGAGTGCAGTACAACATGTCATGTACTGGTGAGTATATGACAACATGCATTTCTCTTCTTTTCATTTATTTTATTTTTGAAGTAGGCCCCATGCCCAGCGTGGAGCCCAACACGGGGCTCACAACCCTGAGATCAAGAGTCAGGCGCTTAACTCACTGAGCCACCCAGGCGCCCCAACAACATGCATTTCTTAAATCTCACAGAAACCATATAACACAAGGGGTGAGCCTTGATGAAAACTATGGACTACAGTTAATAGTAATGTATTTATACTGGTTCATTAATTGTAACAAATATACCACAGTAATGCAAAATGTTAATAATGGGAAATTCTGGGCAGGGTAGGATGGCATATCTTTAACTGGAGAGATTATTATAGATAGATGATAGATAGATAGATAGATAGATAGATAGATAGATAGATAGATGTATATATCAGTGGTTCTCAACTGGAAACAAATTTGTCCCCCACTCCAAAGACATTTTTACAATGTCTGAAGCTATGTTTGGTTGTCACAACTAGGGGAAAGAGAGGATGTTACTGGCATCTAGTAGGTATAGGTCAGGAATGTACAATACACAGGACAGCCATCCACAATAAAGAATTTCTGGCCCAAGATGTCAACAGTGCCTAAATTGAGAGACTCTGATGTGTATGTACCCAGCCACCAAGCAGCGTCCTGTAAAATCAACATCTATCTATGGTAGCTGCGAAATAAACATCTGTTAACATGATATAAGGATGTCTGAAGGAAAATGGAAGGCAGAGAGAGAAAGAGGAGTGAGGTCAGGATCATAGGGTCTTTGCTCATGAAAGAATATGGAGAATTATATGTAAGCTAGTATTTAAAATGTGTGACAGGTAGGGTAGTAGAAGTTTATGCAAAGAAACATTTCCTTCTTTATAGATAAAAGACCACACCCATGGACTTGGGGTGATTTATGTATTTATTTAATCTATTTATCTATCTCTATTTATTTATTCAGAGAGCACATGTCCGGGCAGAGGGAGGGACAGAGGGAGACAAGTCCAAGCAGACTACATTCTGAGTACAGAGCTCAATGAAGGGCTTGATCCCAGGACCCGGAGACCGTGATCCAAGTGCAAATCCAGAGTCAGATGCTCAACTAACTGAACCACCCAGGTGCCACTCACTGACTTGGTTTCTTAATGAATGTATCCCAATCCTTAATTCAGCCATTATGACATGTGGGTTACAAGACATATCTGCCTACTTTGTTTAATCCTTGAGAAGTTTCTCTTGTGCTTTATGATATGTACATCTCAAAGCACCATGCATTTGCCCTTACTGTAACTATTCAAATAAAGTAGAAAAAGGCAGAAATACTGGAGTATTTGCGTATCATTCTTACTCCTTTTTAAAAGTGTGACATGAAGAACTACTTCTATATATAAGCACTTTAAGTTTCTTTAAAGTCTATTCACACTTGGAAGAAGTGGGTGGCTATGAAGGAGGTAGTGTTCGAGTGGGCCTTTGGCGATGGTGCGGTTCTGTATCTTGACTGCAGTGGCAGCTACATGATGCCAGACATGAGAAAACTACACAGAACTATATACACACACACAACACAGGTGTAACTGGTGAAATGTTTTGTCAATGCCAATTTCCTGATTTTGAAATTGTATGGACAATTTAACTGGAGAGATTACAAACTGTATCAAGATACAGAACCATACAAACTGCCTATTTTAGCCTAAAATAATTAATATTTATAGCAACTAACTTATCAAATGGACCTTCTTAATCAAAACTTTGTCAAATGATGGGGCAGCCCTGGTGGCTCAGTGGTTTAGCGCCTCCTTCAGCCCAGGGCATTATCCTGGAGACCCGGGATCGAGTACCACATCAGGCTCCCTGCATGGAGCCTGCTTCTCCTTCTGCCTGTGTCTCTGCCTCTTTCTCTCTCTCCGTGTCTCTCATGAATTAATTAATTAATTAAAATAAATAAAATTAAAAAAAGAAAACTTTGTCAAATGAACAGGAGAGAGAGAAAAAATCTCCCCGCAAAGCTCTCTTGTATAATACTGTCTCTGGTAGAATGAAATTATTTGTCTTAAAATTCCTTAGCACAGGCCCACAATCCCTTATCTGAAACCCAGGGGGCAAAGTATATTCCAGAATCTGTCACTTTTCAGAACTTAGGAAATTAATATGGCACATATATTGAATATTACAGTAGTATGTGAGAAGGCTTGGGAGCTACACACTGTAATTACACAATAATATTTTTGTGGCAAAATGCAGAGGTACACTAATCATGATGAAATATAAATACCTTCAAATCAGTTCTAGTCGTTTTGCCATCAAAGTTGTTTACCAAAACATCCTTTTGGTTTTAAAGATTTTAGTATGGGATTAAAACATGTAATGAGTTATACACTGAATATGCACACTCCTACCCATACTCCCACTCCAACATGAAAACTGACTTTTAAAGTTCTTGGTTAGAAAAATAAATACCATATTTGCACTAATGCCTTAAAGATTACCCCACTCCTTGAGAAGTACCTGAATTCATCCTCCTTCTAAAGGATGACAGATCACACAAAAAAACATTAGCAGAGTGGTTGCTACCAACAGAAGAGATTCCGGAAGTCTCTGTAAACCAGCCAATAGAATGATGACACAGGGGACTGTTTTGTCAGATGTCACCAACATTTATCAGAAGAGGTTAAAAACAATCACTAAGCTGGATGAGGGAGTATTATCTGAAGCCCATCAGAGTATAAAAGATGAATGTTATGACTTTGAGACACTATAAAAATCACACACAACACAGTGAACAGAGAGGCAGAGGGCAGAGAGTTGAAAGAGGTAGGGTCAGTCAAGGTGGATGTCAGTTATAGCTCTTCTACTCCCTAACTGTGATCTCTGTGCCTCAGGTCCTCCCAGGAAAAAGGGAAAGATCTTAGTATCTATTTCAATTTATTATGGTGAAAGTTAAATCAGTAAACAGACATTCAGTATTTAGAACATTGATAGCACAAACATTAGCTATTATGATTATCCTATGTTTCCTAGTAGTTACTGTGAATGTTGTGGGAATTACTTATAATGGAGCCTTCAATTCTAGTTCCCCTTGTGTTTTACTGTCACCCTGAAATTTTGGGCAAGGACAAATAAGAGAAGAACGTGGGAAGCGAATTTGCTCCCAATGGGAAGGGCCTATAAAGTACCTGACAAGCTGTGGAGTATAAATAAGAGATCCTGCAGGGAGAGCCTTAGTAAGTCCTCTTCCCTTTTGCATCAACATCTGAATATACTCAAACATTAAACCACGCAACTATCTACTGGTCAGTGGATACTTTCACCAATCTACTCAAACAACTAAGTATTTTAGAAAGAAAAGCTAACACACCAAATTCCAGAGTTTAAATGGAGGATGATGACAAGAATGATACAGAATAATGGATATAAGCCTTTCTGAAATAAGCATTCATCATTCTTATACTTTTCATGAATTAGGAGCGAACTTAATAAATAACTGCCCCTTTATCTAATTATTTCCAAAAATATCTGTGGCATGAAGCCTAAGAATCTAACTAACATATAAGAACATGCTTAGTGAAATGTACTGTTATTTCTAAGCTAAATATATATTTGGAATATCCTACTAAATAATCTAGAAAAATTCAAATTATTAGAAAATATTTCAGGTATTGTGATCGTTACATTCCTATCATAAAACTGAAGATTAAGAAAGATTGTGCAGTAAAAAGTGTAGGCACAGGTACATAAAGTTTAATTTAGTTTTCATTTAAACAATGAGTCATAAATCACCATGCTTACCAGTGTCATTGGCAGGCTCAGATGTGAGTGGTTTTGGAGCTGGTGCATTTTTGGGTCTGGCAGCAACCTGAGACGGAGATGAAGGCGTGTTGTCTCCATTAACTACATATGAACAGCATGCGTTTTGAGCTAGAGTGCTTGTGGGTACATGATTATCTATTCCATTGGTACCTTCAACAGCCAACCTTAAAAAAAAAGATGCTTTTCTTTAATAAGTACAATTAACTTTCCATTAAAATTGTCGTAGGAAAGCTTTACCAAATTCTTAATATTTAAGCAAAGTGATAGGTAGAAAGAGTAATGAAAAAAAGATATAGCATACTTTTATTACATTAAAATTTAAATTACTTTCATTTCCAAGTGTATCCACACTAGCAGATATCTGTACACTCAGGTATATACACATACTAAATCAAAATGAATCCATTTTGATCAAGTCATACATTTTAAATATTTAAAGTCTAAGTATCTTTATATTAAAATGGTCTAGGGGATCCCTAGGTGGCTCAGTGGTTTGGTGCCTGCCTTAGGCCCAGGGCGTGGTCCTGGAGTCCCGGAATAGAGTCCCGCATCAGGCTCCCTGTGTGGAGACTGCTTCTCCCTCTGCCTGTGTCTCTGCCCCACCCCCCACTCACTCACTCTCTCTCTCTCTCTCTCTCTCTCTCTCTCTGTGTGTGTTTCTCATGAATAAATGAATAACATCTAAAAAAAATGCTCTAAAAGTATTTTAAAAAGCTTATGGAACTTTTAAAAATCATTTCCAACCTACTGTAATTTTATTGAATACTGAAAAATAAGGTGAAAAGGTCTTCAAATACTGATTACACATTACAATGTACTGGCATTAAACTAAGGGGTACATGATAATCAGAAAACATAATTATTATATTGCAGAGTTACAAAAATTTATAGCACATGAACTGCAAATAAATAATTCTACAACTGCCAAAGTTTTTAAATCTTACTGGCAGTGGATAGGGAGTTAGATGATGTCACATATGTTAACAGGAGAGTTTTTCCAAATATACAGGCCACCCTGTATGTGCCCTCCACAAAGCAGTCTTAATGTTTTTTAAAATATATAAAAATCAGATCATGTCCCTAAGCCCTGCCCATCTATTTGTAATCTATTTCTCTTCAACTTCCTCCTTGCTTACCTTGCAGCAAATATACTATGTATCAATTTTAGAGAATACGAAAACATGCTGTAAAATCTTCAAATGTTAATTACAAATTATTATACACAGATAGTAATATTATAATGACTACAAGATAATCCAAAAAAAGGTTAAATATTATATTCTAGAGTTGGAAGAACTTGTAGAGCATAAATTAACAAAAGATAAACTCAAGGTCTTTGCAATTGCTGTCCTCTGTCTAGAATAAGGCTCTCCTGTCAGAACTCTGCACGGATAGCACATTTTTGGCTTTTTAATTGTAGCTCAAATGGCACTTCTTCAGAGAGGATTCCCCTGACATCTCTCTTTAAAACAGGCTCCATTCCATTCCTGTCATCTTGTCCTATTTCAATGACTTCATAGTTCTTATCACTATCGCCAATTACCTACTTTATTTCTTCACTTGTTTACTATCTACCTTCATCCCACCAGAATGCACTTTCACAGGAACAGGGCCAGGACTGTTAGTGGTTAGACTAGTGTCTGGCACTTAATAAATATCTTATGAAAAATGAATAAATGAATGAATGCCACTCTCCTTTCCTTTGTCACCTATATATTTTGAACGAGATGTCTTCAGGAAGAAGTTTGTACAAGTGAAGTTTGAAGGAAGCTCCTAAGTGATTCTTCTGGTTTGCACAGCCCTCCCCAGCCACTAAGCAAGAATCAGTGATCCAGGAGTTTAAGCATAAGAACTCACTTGAAGTTCTCCTGGAGCTGTAGATCTAATCTTTCATTCAAAATGTCTTACTATCTCTATGCAATAAACACCATTAGGTTATAGACTGGTGGTGATTCAAGCTCCTTTACCCATCTAAAATTGTATTTCAAAGATTATAAAAACAGGGACGCCTGGGTAGCTCAGTGGTTGAATGTCTTTGGCTCAGGGCATGATCCCAGCCGGGGTTCTGGGATTGAGTCCTGCACTGGGTTTCCCCACAGGGAGCCTGCTTCTCCTTTTGCCTATGTCTCTGCCTCTCTCTGTCTCTCTCATGAATACATAAATAAAATCTTTAAAAAAAATTTTTAATCTACCTAATTGTACCCTCCTAGTTCTTAATTTTCTCATATGTAAGCCAAATATATATTCAGAAGATATAGTTATCTGTTCAAATGTTCTATGAGAATCATTTGTCATTTTAGGAGTAATGATGTTAGTAATTCTGTGTATTACTAGAAGCAACACTTTGTCATATGCCAGCATGGTTTTTTTTAAAAGATTTATGTATTTATTTGAGAGACAGGGAGAGTATAAGCACGTACACAAATGGGAGGGGCAAAGGGAGAGGAAGAGAGAATCTCAAGAATCTCAAGACTAACATGGGGCTTGATCTCACAACCCTGAGGTCATGACCTGAGCTGAAACCAAGAGTCAGAGGCTCAACTGAGCAAGCCACCCAGGCACCCCTACCAGCATGTTTTTTTCAAATTAACAAGTCAATTTTACAGCAATATACTTTTATATTTTCAGGGATTCACTTCATTACATTTGACCTATTATATGTTTTATTCTAATTTAAAATATTCTAAGTAGAAAGCTTTTATTAATTGTCATCAAACATGAATGCAAGGCAGCTTGGAGATGGCAGGGTGACTTCTGAGGAAAGACCACTATCTGTGAAGCATGTATCTTATAGTGATCTACAGGAAGCTGCCAATTCATATCGTAAAAAGAATCCATTTTCCCACATTTGAGTCTATTTATTGATAAAATATGCCTAAGTACAGATTTTAAGAAGCCATTTCCAATAAAAAAAAAATGAAGAACTGATACATGTCTCAACATGAACCTTAGACTAAGTAAAACAGTCAGTAATAGAAGGTGACATATTGTATGATTCTATTTCTACGAAATGGCCAGAATAGGCATAGCCACTGGGACAAAAAGTAGATTAGCAGCTGCCAGAATCTGGGAGGAGAAAGGAATGAGGAGAAACAGCTCATGAGTAAAGCATCTCTTTTTAAGGCTGATGAGAATTTCTGAAATTAGATAGTAGTGATAGTTACAGCCAAATCTACTGAGATATAGACTTTAAAAAACAGTAAACCTTTTGGTATGTGTGTTGTATCTCAATGAAGTTATTTCTTTAAAAATTACTTTTATAAGAATTCAAAGAAATGACCTGTTTAGTTAGAAACTTTTAAATTGTATAGCAAACTCTAAACTAAACATTATATATAAAATCTAAAACTTCATATATGGGAAATGTTACATTATTTTGCCACAAATACTAAAATAAGATAATCTACCTGGAGGTTGGTCTTGCTGAAGGCTCTCCATTTTCATGTAAGGCATCACCATTTTGCTGTATTTCTACTGAACAACAAGAAAGCAAGCAAGCAGGTTTTTATATACTTCTTGCTGGATTTTTTTTCCCCTTCAAATTTTAAAATCACGTAAAGTTATCTTACTGGTTGGAGATGAGCTGCAGTTTGTTAGATTTTCTTGTTCAATCGTCAGTCCATCGAGCACAACTGTTAATTCACCAGTTTGGACTATGCCATTCTTGTTTTCCAAAGAAAGTTTTAATTGTTCTTTTACTCTTTCCACTAGAAAAAAAAAATCTTAAGTTAAAAGCTTCTGCCATATACAAAATTATGTGTAAGAAATCAAAACTACATATAAGAGTCACTCTAGTTCAGTACCTGATTGCTACATGTAGAAAGAATTATCTACACTTTTGGGTCCCCAGGTGCCTCAGTTGGTTAAGCATCTGCCTTCAGCTCAGGTCACAATCCCAGGGTCTTGGGATCGAGTCCAGCATTGGACTCCCTGCTCAGTTAGGGGGTCTGCTTCTCTCTCTGTCCTCTCTCCCTCTGCCCTATACCCCTAAACCCCCACTCATGCTGGTGCTGTCCCTCTCAGGAATAAATAAAATCTTTAAAAAAGAATTTTTTTTCATTTTTAAAAATTATTTTCATTTTTATCAGTGGACTCTTCTATACTGCACCAGGCTTCCTCCCTTTCACACCAAGTTAAAAAACTCCTTGCCCCTCACCCATGCTTTCATTGTCATCTTTAATTGCTCCTCTGCACTGTATAAAGCACAGAGAACATATAAATATAGGCAGATAATAAGCACAACAATTACCTAAACTTGCCCTTCAGCCCATAAGACTTGTGGTTAAGGCAAAATTTCTGCATGGGCATCAGGTGGTCTGGTTACTGATTCCAGCTCTGAAACTTACAGTATTTTGAGTAACTAGTCAATCTGAATAAAAAAGCCTCAGTTACAGTCATTATAAAATGGGAGATAATTAAGACATCAAACTAAAGGGACTGTCATAAGGCCCAAATGCAAAACCACATAGAAAGTTCTTAGTACCATGCTTGACACACTTTAAGCACTCAATAAATGGTAAATACTATGATAATATTTATTATTTTTTTCATAGAAGATCACAAATATTTCCTTCCTGTTATCAGGATATCAGGTAAAGCTGAAATTCTTGCATTTGTAGGTTTTTTTTCCATACTTTTATATTTTGCCTAGTCTCTAATTGTTTTTATTAATATATTTTTGTGATGTGGAGTGAAAATGAGGTTTACGATGTGTAAAGTTTGGGGTAGGTAATCTCTAAGTCTTCTTCTATTATGTGGTTCTTAAATTTTTGGCAAATAATTCTTACTTAAACTCAAGGTCATTTTGTTTTGACTTTTACCCCAAGAAACACATTAAGTTTTTAGTGATCCCTTTACTACCCAAAATGAAGCCAATTACTTCAGCCTGATATTTACTGGCTCTCTGCAGCTTTTGGAACCATAGAAAGTAGTTTTTCTTAGATAATGTCCTTGACTTTGGTCTTTCATATATTTAACAAATTTGGGTGTTTTCTCCCTCATTTATCAAATGTCCAGCATAAGCATACTTATTATCCAAATACAGAAAAGACCAAAAAAACAAATCTGGAATCACTAGAATCACTGGACAGAGAAATTCTTTGCCTAAAATTTTGTTATCTTTTTCTCTATAGCTGTTTTTGTTCTATTTTTGTCTTTGGTGTCATGCATTTCACTTGATGAAAGCCTGACTTTCTCTTTATCATCTTGGTTGGAATATTATGGACCTTAGAATTTATTTTTCATGAGTATTCAAACACAGCCATTATTCTCCTCTACTCCACCTTCTTCTGCAGGGGTTAGTAAACTGGTTGCAGGCCAAATCTGGCCTGTTACCTGTTTTCGTGAATAGTTTATTTGAAGACAGTCACGTTGATTCATTTATTATATATCTTCTATGGCTGTTTTCCCACTACAATGGAAGAGCTGAATAGATACAACAAAGACTATATGACCCGCAAAGCTTAAATAAATATTTACTATCCTGGCATTTACAGGAAACTTTTGCCAACCCTTGCTTATGGTGCCTTCTTACAATTTATCTTTGATGGTGAGTTCATTTTCTGATATTAGACTAAGGGTAATCTTTGGGCTTTGGTACAGTCGGGGACTCTTTCTAATTTTGTCAATGGCTTGAGGGCACCCCCAAAAATCTGGACTACAGGAGTCCAAGCTCAGCTCCCCAATCTGGTTAGTCACAAGCTCAGTATCCTGAATCTGCTATCAGCATCATTCACTATTCTAACTCCAGATTGTAAGATCTTCCTTGCCTTGATTTATTTATCTGTTTATTTTTTGGAAAAAAGGGGGGCCTTGAAGATCACTTTGCCTCCTTGCAAAAATCATTAGTCACAAAAATGCATTCTATCCAGGATATAATTGTTCTGCAGTGAGAGATTGTTTATGGTATCTAGTCTTTCACAATTCTGAACGTGGAAAATTGGGATATAACATTTCTAGGTCATAAAATTGGGAGGACTATCATGTAAATAATTCCCATCTACAAGTGCATGTATGTATGTTGGTAAGGGGAATGAGAGTATTATTCTAACAGTTTAGACGAAGCAACTCAGACATATTCATCTATTTAGTACATAAATGCCTAATGTGTTCCAGATACTGAAGTCTCCAAAAGAGGAGAAATTGTATCCGTCTAATTTAGTAATATATCCTCAGTATCTGACTGAAGGTAGGTGCTTAATTACTGTTTAAAATAAATTATTAAGATAGGACTGTCTTTAGGAAACTTTTAAGGCAGAATCTGATTTTTCTTTCTAGACTTCTTTCTTAGTTCTAAGAGGACAAAGGAACAATCTGAGACTGAAAAGCTAGGTATATGACTAGATAATTTATCCTTCTATCACTGATTTGTTGAAAACATACACTCTGTCCGAAAAGAAAACAAAAGATCTTCAGAAATCTTGTTTTTTTATGGTGTTTCACATATTTAGGTTTAAATCAATCATATTCTGAAGCCATTTTTAAAAGTTGCTTGTATACTGTATTATCTATTGCTAAGTAACAAACTTTTCTAAAGTTTAGTCATTAAAAATAACAATAATCATTTATTACTGCTCAGTTTCTATGAGCCAGAAATTTGGGAGGGGCGAGAAAATACACTTAAATGGTGGGTCATACACACAGCTAATAAGCTGGTGCTGAGAGCTGAGAGGAGGCCTCAGCTCCTCTCCATTTAGGTGTTTCTACAGGGCTTCTTGAGTCTTCGCTATGGTGACTTCTGAGTACATAATCCAAGAGACTAAGGCAAAAGTTGAAATGTCTTTTATGATCAAGTCTTGGAGGTCCGATACCATTACTTCTATCATATTCTGTCACAGGCCATCTCTGATTCAATGTGGCAGGGACCACACAGGGTACAAACACCAGAAGGTAGGAATGCCTGGGGTAGTTTTTGAGGTTGGCCAACATATGTATGATTATAACAGAATTTTAGAAACAAAACAAGTATACTGGGTTACAAACCATGACAGTGCTAAGAATAACCAGGTGTTTTAAATGCCAAGTCTTTCAGTTATATCACACTACGAGTCAATATGCAATACTCACAAAGTGCCCATTTCCTAACATGTAACAAAACTAAGAAGAATTTATAAAAGAAATTGAAAATAAAGTAATAATTGTGTAGGAAGATAACTGAAATATAGGGATCGAAAAACATTCTGAGTCTATAAAAAAAATAAAATAAAATAAAAAAACATTCTGAGTCTAAAAAATGGAAGATGGATAAACCTTAATGATAGAAGAAAATATTAAATGCCTATCAATCAAATTTAAAAAAAGTGGCCAATGATTGAGAAAAAAGAGCTCCTATAAATCAGTGAGAAAACAAGGGAAAACCAATAAAAAAAAAAAGGTACAAAGAATATAGGACAATCACAAATGGGGGCACTTGAGTGGCTCAGTCAATTAAGCATTTGTTTTCAGCTCAGGTCATGATCCCAGGATCCTGGGATCAAGCTCCACATTGAGCTCCCTGTTCAGAGGGAGTCTGCTTCACCCTCTCCCTCTTCTTCTGCCTGTGCTATCTCTTTCAAATAAATAAATAAAATCTTAAAAAACAAAAGAACCACCACAAATGATAAAATATAGATGATCAATAAATATGACTTTTTTAATTATTTAAGAAATGCTCTGATAAAAACAATCTATTTTAAAAATCTATTAGTATGACAAATATTTATAAATGGGCATTCATATGCTTCACTGTGTGTACAAATTAGTCACATTTCAGGAAGGCAATGAGACAGCTATGCATAGGTGGAGGCTTCAAACTGCTCATTTTCTCTGACCTAGTAATCTCAATCCTAAAAATCTTTCTGAAGAATAGAAATGCATTTATATAACTGGATATGAGAATACTATTTATTCAAAAGCTTGGTTTTAACATATCTTAGACTGTGCTGATACTAAGTGAAAAGAGAACTTAAGTCTTAGCAAATTAAATCAGTTAAGTAAGACTAAAGCAAATTTTTAAATAAAATAAAATTTGACTTAGGCTCTGTCCTCTGTCATAAATGACATATTTCTCTGAGAAATGGTAGGTATCTTCCCTACCATTAGATGTAGAGACATAATTTTCAAATTATCTGATTACTGTAAATTACTTGGGACATAATTCAATTTAAAGTGAACTTAATGGATTTCAAAATGCTTTCCTTGATAAAAGCTAAGTTCTCAATTCTACTAACACCATAAAAAAACCCAGGGTAGTCCCCAGTGTTTGACTGGCAGCCATCGGACTTCTCTCTCGGGTATTTAAAGTAGCCCTGTCAATTTCAAAACTGAAATACAAAACGAAGTTCTATACACACTCTGCTGTGAGACTAGCTACACTACTCTTAAACACTTTTCACCCATGAATGGTGACAAAGATTTTTTCCTTAAACAAACTCAAGCTCTTCTGAGCCATTTTCTTAACTAGGCCTCAACCCTCACCTACCTATATATCTATAAACACTCAGCACAAAGACCTCATCCACCACCTCCTCCCCTCACATTAAAAAAACCTGAACATACATTAACAGAGTTGTAACAACTCAAGGATAACTAGAGCCCCACTTAAAGTGCCTGCCTGAGAAAATTCAGGGTTGCTAAAAAATTCAATGTTTGTTCCAGTCTATACCCATGAGAGGCCCCTGACTACTCCATCTTGGAGCACCTACTTAAAAAAGGCTTAAAATGGTGAGAA